GTCTCATATAGATGGTTTTTTAATGGAATATAGTATTCATGGGTAATATCCTTTATTTTGCGTGTCAATCTGTCATTTCGCTAAAAGACGATCTCAGGCCACAATGCTGAGTCATCAGGCTGGGATCAGGCATTGGGCAGCCGAGGCGGAACATCCCGGAGCATATCCCCCAGCAGCCACAGGCTGGTCTCTGAAGGCCTCTGCGTGCCAGGCATCAGGTACGGGTGCCAAGCACGGACTCTTTCCAGTTTGGCAAGGAGAGCTTAAGTGACTGAAGAAAGGACACTGAACAAGTGCATAGAACTCACCATCTCTGTTCTTGCGGTGAGGAAACGCCTGCCTGGTGAGCAGAGCTAAAGTAAACAAGTTCCAGGACAAACCAGCTCTGCCAGCTTCCTCTTCACAGAAGATGACAATGTAAGGAGGATCTAGGCCTGTCATGCAGGATCCAAAGTAGGTAATTTTCTCTTAGAATCTTCGCTGTTTTGTAAATTTATTTGACGAGACCAATCCAGGAATGGCATGGTTTTAATTTTTGCTGTACTTCGGGGGACATGTCCCCCCAGTCACGTGCATCGATGTTTCCTTCCCTGTCATTGTCCTGGGGCATTGTTAACACACTTGAATTAATACCCGAGTTTCTGCGGAGAGAGGCTGGAACACGGGGCGGCGTGGTTCCCGGCCGAGGGTCTCATGACGACAGCTAGACCTTTCACCCTATGCAAATCAAAGACCGATTCCACTGTGTGAAATCACTGCTCTCGTTTCAGACAACTGCATAAATGTCGTCCTTCAGTTGATCTGCCTGCATTCTGAGGGATCACATTCATCTGTTAAGCTCGTTTCCAAAGACAGCGATGAGACTTGGAGCATGTGTGGCCCCAGTCTGACCCTTGGGCGCCTTCTCCTCCCCACTTTCTTCTCTGGGCCGGGGGTCAGAGAGCCTCAGGGGTGGGCCTTCTTCGCCCTGCGCTGTCCCCTACGAAGAGCTCAGTGAATGTACTGTCCCATTTGCTCTCTAATCCCAGACACCTATGCCTTTCAGCAAGGTTTGAAATGCTCCCAGTCGCTGCGAGAGTTTAGCAGGGAAAGGACAATGAAGGCATCGTCTAGCTGACAAGTGTATGTATTATATTCTTTGCTGTTCGTCTCAGCGGAGAAGACAAGGCTCTGAATGAGGAGGAACAGGTACCGGGGCAGTCACTGCTCACTAGGGCTCTGTCCTGTGCCTTCCCTGTCGGCGCACACAACCGACCACCTGAAACCTTGGAACTGTTCTTCTCCACCACATGTAATCCTAACCTTCACCCAATAAGGTTTCTGTACTACAAAAAACACATATATTGAAATGTCATGATTCCATTATCCGGAACTCGGGCAGAACACAGAGCAGATCGATGGTTGCTGGGGCCACGGGCGCGGTCGGGTAGTTGGGGTGAGGGAATGGTCCGTATCTCGGTTGTGGTGGTGATTACCTGGATATACAGACCTGTGAAACTCACTGAAGGTGGCTGTATTTTATTGTTGGTGATTTACAGCTCAATGATGTTGATTAAAAAAACCCAAACACCTCAGATGCCCGAGCCTTTGAAACAAAGAGCAGTCAGGAGACCCCAGCTGCCCTTTGAGACCCGGACGAGCCTCTGAAGCCTCAGTGGCACCCGTGTTCCTGCAGACGGAGGCCCTCCCTGAGAACGAGCCTCCTTCGTCCAGCCCGGCCGGCACTCAGCGGCACCCGGGGCGGAAGCTACTCCTGGAGACCCTGAGACCCGAGACTGTGGGCCCATCCCCTTTGCTTGGCCTTAGGCCCCGTTCTGTCCACGCTCATCACCTGTTGCCCTGGAGAAGAAGGACAGACTAGGGTGGGCTCCTGCCCCATCCTTCTGTTGAGATTCTTCTGGTCAATCGTGTAGTCAGACTAGGCAGCGTCTACCCCAACATGCCAGGGACAGGTGGAGCGAGCAGCAGTCCTGCCAGGCCCGGGCTGGCCTCCTGTCTGGGGATCGAGGCACCCAAGGCAGATGTCTGAGAGGGAAGCCAGAGGCAAACAGGGCTGTTCTGGGTGCTGCCAGGCCTCACACCCCAGCCTGTCGCCCCCGCTTCTGGCCGAGTGAAGCCCCTTAACAGCCTGGAGGCCTCTGTGCATGGGAGTGCTAGCACCTGTGCTCCCGGGGGCCTTGTGAGCGTGTCTGGGGGCGGCCCCTCCACGCAGGCTGGCTCCTGCCCGTCCCCGCCACCCCCAGCTGGGCGCAGCAGCCCAGAGCCAGCTTTACGGAGCGCAGGCCAGGCCCCAGATCGCGCAGTCACAGATGTGCCCTTGGCTTCTTCCCAGGGCGGAGGCAGGACAACTCAGGCCCCTGCTGCTGCTGCTTCAGCTTCTTCAGTGTGCGGTAGGCCTGCACCACCCGTGCTCTCTCCTCCTCCACGATCCGCTGCCGGGCCAGCGAGGGGCTCAGAGGCTGGGACACACTGCCAGGGCCCAAAGGCACCCTCAGCACCAGGGACTTCTCGCCAGGCTGAGGAAGGGAGAAAAGTGAGGTGACTCAGAGCCTTGGTTGGTCCAGCACTCAGCCTCTGTGGGGATGCGTGAGCTGGCATCTGCAGGCCCTGGACCTGCCGCAGCAAACAGGCCCCGATGAGGTCTCTGCTCTGTGGCAGCACTGCCAACTCCTGCCCCCCGTAGCCCCCTGCTCACCTGTCCCCTGCTCGTGCTCTTCCTGGGCCTGGCGGTCAGCTCTGGGGGCTGCAGCGCCACCTCCCCAAACTTCACCCTGTCTGGGGGGCAAAGTATGACTGAGGTCTGCAGCTCTGGCGCCGGAGCTGCCCTTGCCCGTGTGCCCTCCCTCCCCCGCAGCCCAGGACTTGGAACGCGACGGATGCACTGTCGGTAGTTGTGGACACAGACCCAGGGGCCAGGCGGCGTCACGCGCACGCCCGCCGCAGCCGGTGCTGGTGGGGGAATGGCGCGGGCAGCAGCAGGCCTGTCCCCGGGACGCTGCCACCTGGGACCGAGGGCAGCTACCTTGGAGCAGCTCCTGTTCCAGCCTGTCTGCCGCCTTGTCCTCCTTCCTCTGCCGGACTCTCTCCAGCCGCCGCTTCTGGAACCTGGGCAGGAAGACCCACACTGTTCGGACTCACCAGCTCCCACTGCACTGGACTCAAGGGGGGAGGTAGGGCTCGTCCACAAGTGGTGCGGGACCCCGGCCCCGCTGGCTGCCTCCATGTCCACACTCGCCCCATCAGAGACACGCCGACTCCAACAGGCCCTCTCTACCGTCTACACCTGGGTTCTCAATCGGGGGTGATCCTGTCCCCCAGGGGACACTGGGCAATATCTGTATCAATGTTTGGTTATTACAAAGAGGATTGGCGGAGGTTCCTGGCCCCCTGTGGGTAGAGACCACGGCTGCTCTATACACCCCACAGTTCACAAGACGCGCCGCAGCAAAGTGACCCGGCCCAGGTGTCCACGGTGCTGCCACTGAAAAACCTGCTCTAAACGGGCTGAGTGTCACCCACCACGTGCCGCCCCTCGTGTGACTTCGTAACCCTCTGGTTTCCCGATGGTTTTGGGAACCCGTGGGAAAGCCCCCAGGCTTTGGGCTGTATCTGGAATCAGCTTCCTGTGATGTAATTTTCACCGATAACGTGACAACTGTTAGCTCAGGAATTCAGACACAGTAAGACTACAAAGCTGAAAATGATTTCTCTGACATCACAGCACTCAGAGACTCAAACAAGCGTGTCCTGTTGATACCAACAAAGAGAGGAAACCCACAACTGTGGCCGTGTTTCCTGAACCTCTGGGGAAAGCTGGAACTCGCTCATCCCAAATGTTGCAGTAAGGCAGAGCAGCGTCTCAGGAAGCGCCTGTTTGCTGAGACCACGCCACCAGCTCAGGGAGGTGACACACACTTCTCCTTCTCGGAGGCCATGGGGTGGGGACGGGCAGGGCCTCCTCTGAGGGCTGAACATCAGCTTCAGGAGCTTTTAGGAAGGCACTTGAGCCTTGTGACTGCCCTGCTTAAGAGACAGATGCTGTCACCCCCACCTTACAGAGAAGGATGCTGGGGCCCAGAGAGGCTATGGAGCCCATGCAAATGGCACAGCCAGAAGCAGTCAGACTTCCTCCAGACTGGGAAGGGGAACACGGAAAATGGACCCCCAATGCAAGTCCAGGTGGGACGAGCAGGGGGCGCCAGCAGAGCAGGCGTGAGAAGGGAGGCCTCTTACACACTGACCCCAAGTACTAACTCCCCAGGGGCAGGTGAGGTCCCCGGTGGCCAGCAGGCTCTCTTGGGGCAGGGACTGAGCCTCATCTTTCCCCACCTTCCTGCAGCAAGTGGTCCAAGGGGATGGCTTGCTCCTGCGCCCCTTGCCTGCTCCGCCAGAAAAAAACCAGAGCCAGAGCGAGGCCTTCACCACTTGGTCTGACAGCGCCTCTAGTCCCCAGGTCGAGGAGCTCTGCTGCAGACACACTGGCTGACTGAGCAGGGCTTAACTTCTGTCCAAGTCCAAGCCTAGAGTCCCTGAACTGCAGGTGGGGAACAGGGGTGTCCCCGGCAGCAAACCGCTGTCACCGCAAAAGACGGTACTGGCCCCCGCAGCTCTCCCTCCCCAGGAGTCCAGAGCAAACCCGATGCCCGCCCGCCACACTCACGCCTTCCTGTGCTCCGACTTCTCCCTCTCGGGGGTCCCCTGTGCCTCGGGCCGACGGGCAGCCTGGTTCTTGCTAAGGAACAGCACATGCTGGGTCTCCTGCTCCATGCGCCGCATATAGGCCCCATCCGACTCCCACTTCTTCTGCTTGAACTTGGGGACAGCAATGTCTGGCTCCACCCCCTTGGCCTCCTTCTCCAGCGTCTTTCTGAAGGCCACATGGGCTGAGGACAAAGGAAAACCTCAGGGGGGCGTGAGGGGCAGGAGAGACTAGTCATGCCCACACCCGCTTCCCTTCCCAGGACCAAGCAACCATCAACGGTCTGAGCAGCCACCCCCTCCCATTTGCAGTAGCCTCCAGAGCCTGCCCACATCCATACCTGCTCCTGAATCACTACTTTTCTAGAAGTAAATCTGAACTGACCACCCTCTGCTTAAAATCTTCTCATGGATCTCCACTGTTCTTGGAGATAAAAAAATCAACACTCTTGACCATGGCCTAGGAGGCCCATGAACTGCTCCTCACACCAGAGCTTCGAATCAGCTTGAACTTGTGCAGTAATGGCTGATAAAGCAAAAATGGAACAGACTCAGATTTTTACAGTTCAGATGATGTGAAACAATAACCAGAACAGGATAAATTACGGTCGAAGCCTTGGAATGGGAAAGTGGGAAGAGGTGTAGCAAGCCTTTTCAGGAGCCTGATGCATGAGACTGCACTATTGGCAGGACTGTGGAGAGTGACGCATGTTCATAGCAGTGCGGTCAGCTGCCATTTTTGAGTGGGGCACCACCATTTCCAACTCTGCTTAAAATCGGACAGGCAAGAGATTTGGTTGCTATGCAACGCATACACTGCTCTTGTAGGAGAGAGATTAGGTCCCTGTTAGGACTCTGACCCGTGATTTTTCCCATTCTGGTTATTGTTCTGGTTCACCCGAATTTTAAACATTTGGGTCTGTTCCGGTTTCGCTTCCTGGGACATGCTGAACTGGGAAGAACTCTTGCACCCACACCTGGGGGCTCCTTCTCATACCTCACCTGGAACCACCGCCACCTCCTGCCTGTCACTGCTTTAGTTCTGGGGTGTCCTCCACGCCCAGCACGCTCAGACCACTGGGTCTTTGCCTGAAACTCCATCAAATATTTGGGTAATTAAGGGATCCGGCGACCGAGCACAGGCCTGTACGTTACCTTCTGTCTTCCTTCTCTTGTTACTGATGGGGTTCTTCATCTGCTGGCGGCTCCTCATGATCTCTCGGAGCCGGAAAGGGATCTCTTGTTCGTCCTGGTTCTTAGGCTTACAATTCACTTTTTTCTTTTCTTTTCTAGGAGAAGAACACGGGTGAGACCTGTCCAAGGCAGGCACACGGAGAACGACGCCAGCCCTGCCCTGGCTGCTGCGGTGCGTAGGGAGCAGGAACCTTTCCTGTCATCCTCATCCGCAGACTGTCCCTGAACTGGTTTCTCACAGGACTGCCAAGGCGAAAGATTCTTTGCAAGTGCCGGGAGGCCTGTCACTCTCTGACCACGTCAGAAAAGGCAAAGACGGGGCAGATACAAGACTGGCGACTCGCTGCTCCATTCACCCAACTACTCTTCCCAGGGCGTCGGCCATGGGCTCAGGCAGAGGAAGGGCACCTAAGCCAGGTCTGCGGAGGGATGTATGAGGCAGAGCTCCCTGGAGGAGGGTCTCGAGGGTTGGGCGCAGGGATGGGAACTACCGGACAGGGCACCCACCTGCACTGCCCCGGCCGCAAAGCCGGACGCTGCTTCCCCCGCAGCTCCTCTTGCTGCTGCCGCCGCCGCC